TTTAATATAATCTCATTCACATTAGAACAAAAACACTAATACTGAAAATGACAAGAATAATATATTTCATCCTTAAAACTCTTATACAACTTCGCAGATTTAGTAGTTTCACCGAGAAATTAATTAATTAAGCTCCAAAGAATTTTAGGAAAACTCATGACTGTTTGCAGTGGTGATTCCATTCTTTTAAGTGCCATGTAATAGGTTCCTAATTATTTCGCCGAGCATTCTCAAAACTATTAGCCGGCACTTTTATGAGAATATATTGGATCCCAGAGGAAGGTTATTAGATTTTTATTTCATTTCAAGTGCTAGGATATTTCGAATCTTGTAGCAATGATATAAATGTGCGAAATAATAAAATTTGCTAGTTCCGATGATATAAAAGAAGAATTGCTGGCCGTGGTGACGATGGTGATCGAGACTGATGAATAAGCATACAGTTTTGATTATTTCTACTTAAGTTATAAGCCTTCGTTTTTCAATCACGCAATCCTCAATTGAAGACAGCGCGCGTAGAATATTATGTTGAACATGGGATACCGAATTGGTTTCATACATACATTCCTGTCTTCCATCCGGGGGGCAGGGACTCTGGAACGTCAATTGCAAAACCAATATAAGAGTATTTTGTTTTTAAGGGGGGAAAATTATCGAATGACTGCTCCCGCCTGAGTGAGGCGGGAAGGAGTGTCAGACTCTTACTGACTAAAAACCACCCCGTTCCTTCTCCTGCACGTCGAGCCGGAGCCCCGGTAACCCGGTAGATTCTCCGCGACAATATAAGAGTATAAGAATAATTCTTAATTCAACAAAGACAGAATCAATCAAAAAGGTTTCAGAAAAGATAAGCTAGAAATTGGGAGACGTGAAGTGACACTTGGGTCAATTACGGAATCTGTAAATACATACTCAAAAGCGATAAAATTGTCTTTAAAGCTAAAAAAGAAAACTTACTATAACAAAACATAAAATAATAACATGCCAAAGTATGGGGTATAGTACCTATATTGAATACAATTCATTGAAATTAATTTAGAAATGGGCCAGTCATTCAGCGAGACTCAAAGATAACAGAAAGATCATTCTGGCCACATAATGGACCACTGGGCGAGCGTCCCAAAGGTATATTTTGTGCACTGGGATGATGACATCAGAAAAATTATTGGGCGACAATAGAAACAGACAGTCTAAAACAATATACAGACGAATTGATAACCTCTTCCTTTTTGGAAAATCGGTTAAAAATCGTAGTAAATAGCAATCATTGGAAGTGGTCTTTATCTGTAAGGTACTTAAATAAATATTAAAAATTGTAATAAAATTGTAATATAGCCTAGGAAATAAAAGACATTTTTATTTATTTTATACTAGTGTGTGCGTTCTTATCAATTCATAAAGTTTTTTACATTTTCATTCCAATTATTATTGAATTTGATTACGAAACACTTATGGTGCATGTTAAAAAAAAAGGATTTTGTAAATCAATTTGTATATAATGAAAATACTTTGTCTCATATTACATTTTTGGATCTCGTTTGTAATATGCAGAGACTTTTATATTGGCATGTTTAAACATGATGATTATTTAGTAGCACAAGATGTTGTGTTTAAGGACGCTAACCCGTTTGGGTATACAATGGCGAGCTATGGGAGGTTATTTAAGTGTCCAGTAAGTGTATTCTTATATTTATTTTACTAATCTTATCTTATACTAGCTACTTCCGTGCGGTTTCACACGCTCTGCTCAGCTCCTATTGGTCGTAGTGTAATGTATTATAGCCTATAGCCATCCTCGATAAATGCGCTATCCAACATAAAAAGAATTATTCAAATCAGACTTGTAGTTACGGAGATTAGCGCGTTCAAACAAAAAACAAACTCTTCCGCTGTATATAATAGTATAAGACTATATACTTTTTTATTATATAAGGCTGAATGGTTTGTTTGTTTTTCTGAACGCGCTAATGGACACGACTGGAACTACTACTAGTTCGTTTTGAAAAAATATGTTTGTGTTAGTTAGTCTATTTATCGAGGAAGGCTATATGGTATAAAACATCACGCTACTGCCAATACGGGCCGAGCAGAGCGGGTGAACCACACGGAAGCAACTAGTCACACTAATATTATAATCTAGCTGAGCCCGCGACTTCGTCCGCGTGGAATAGTGATTCACAGCTCCTCCCCCGTAGTTGATAACATGATAATAAGTAGCCTTGATGTTGACCAGACCTGTTAGTAATATTCATGCAAAATTTGAAGTAAATCTATGCAGCACTATTTGAGTTCATCCCGAACATACATAAAGACAAACAGACAAAAATTCTAAAAACTATATTTTTGGTTTCGCCATCGACTGTAGAACACGCCCAAATGATTCGTTTTCTTTCATTTTCATTTTTCATTCACTTTCTTACAATTTTATACTACATAACATAACATAACATAACATAACATCACGCCTTTTATCCCCGAAGGGGTAGGCAGAGGTGCACATTATGCCACTGTACAATGTAACACCCACTTTTCACTATTTATGTCATGAGTCTCATGTAATAGGGTATGTATAAAATGTAATAAAATTTTATACTAATAATCTTTATATATATAATTCTGTTGTACGTGCGTATGCCATTGAACTCCTTCTAAACGGCTTGACCGATTTAAATGAATTTTTCTGTACGCTTTAGAGCGGCTCCCTGGATGGTTTAGATTCACAAATCAGCCCGGCAGATGGCGTTGCAGGCAGTGTCTATTTTTTTTTTTGTTAAGGGGGGAAAATTATCAAATGACTGCTCCCGCCTGGGTGAGGCGGGAGGGAGTGTCAGAGTCTTACTGACTAAAAACCACCCCGTTCCTTCTCCTGCACGTCCGTCGCCCCGGTTACCCGTTAGGTTCTCCGCGACTCCGAATGGCGCTGCAGGCAGTGTCTATATTATTTTTCCTAAACGGCTGAATTAATTTGAATGAATTTTTGTTTATACATTCAAGTGGATATGCAGGACAACGTCTGTCGGGTCCGCTAGTATAATAATTATAATGTGAAAGTATTATTTTTGAATTTTTGAATGTTTGTCCGTCAATCACGCTTAAAATACTGAACGGATTTTCATCAAATTTAGTATACAGGCAGGGTATGGGCTGACTTAGATGATAATCCCTAAAATGCTCTCGTGGGATTAAACAGTAATCATATTCTACGCCGACGAAGTCGCGGGCAAGAGGTAGTAATAAATAAATCAAGCCTCCGAGTGACCCTTCAACGGCAAAGTCACACAACATTAACTATAATATATAAATAATAAGTGTGGGAGAGCCATGCTTCGGCACGAATGGGCCGGCTCGACCGAAGTGATACAACGGCCTCACAGAAAACCGACTTGAAGCAAAGCTTGCGTTGTGTTTCGTCGTGTGAGTGAGGTTACCGGAGGCCCACTTACCGTCCCATTCTCCAATCTCCCCAATTCCTGAATTTCCAACGATCCTCAAACTTTTAATCCCAAAAAGGCCGGTAACGCACATGTAACGCCTCTGGTGTTCCAAGTGTCCATGAGCGACGCCGATTGCTTACCATCAGGTGATCCGTCTGCTCGTTTATAAAAAGTTTGTTACTGAGTCACATTGAAGCGGCTGAAGGGACCGGTATGAAATTTGGAAGAGAGGTAGATTATTATAGTCTAAAGTAATACATAGGCTGCTAAAACCTCTGAAAACGCGGGCGAAGCCGCTGGGAAAAACTTATAATATAATAATATAGCCTTTTATTCTTAAACATAGGGTTACAGGAGGTCCCTAAGTTCGGTGTGCCTTATGGCATAGGCCTCCTTCAAATTCTTTCCAATGTGTTCCGTCTCTTATCACTCTCAACCAGTATGGTCCCGTAGTCAGTTTCAAGTCAGGCAGAAACTAGTCAACAAATAATAAAATAACTGTCATTTTAATTTCAGATAACTTTCTTCAGGGTAGTCGACCGTCTAGGCATGGGTCGAGGACCTTACACTACAGTTGTTCGTGGAGGTCTTGGAAAGAAATATATAAATGTGCGCATTAGATCAACATATAAACTACCTGTTTCTGTCAATATTTATGTCGGCTGTGAAAACAAGGAGCCAAGAGTTGTGAAATTCCCTAAGCAACCACCAAAAGCTAGGACCAAAGGAACCGAGAAAAACGAGCCGACAACAACAACAGACTCGTCTAGCAAGAATGAAACTTCGCCATCAGACCCGTCTTCTCGGAACGAAACGGACCCGGCTGCCCCGGACCCGGCTAACCCGGACCCGGCTAATCCGGACCCGGCTAACCCGGACCCGGCTAACCCGGACCCGGCTAAACCGGACCCGGCTAAACCGGACCCGGCTAAACCGGACCCGGCTAAACCGGACCCGGCTAAACCGGACCCGGCTAACCCGAACCCGGATAAACCGGACCCGGTTAACCCACCACCAGGAAATTAGACAGTTTTTACATTACTAACAAAATTGTCTTAAATTTAATCTACACTAATAGAATAAAGAGGAAAGACTTGAATTTTTGTTTGTTTGTTTAAATTGAATAAGCTCCGATACTACCGGAACAATTTGATAAATTATTTTACCATTGGAACTCTACATTATCGATGATGAACGTAGGCTATATTTAATAAAAGAGAAAAAGGGAATCATGTGCAACTTTCGATAATGTAACCCATGTGTGAAAGTACTACCAAAACCCAAAACACTTCTGATATTGCTTAAGCCTTTCACTGCCAATAGAAGACTATTTTCAAGGAGAAAATATAATCGCTCGCGCTCTTTTAAAACATTGAGGGCAGGTTTACAATAAATAAAAAAGAACTAGCGCCCGATGTTTTAGGTTTCTTGAAAATTACGAATTGCTCCATGGAAACTTCCACCTCCTGTTTTAGGGAAGTAGTGAGTTTGAAAGAAACAAAATGTAGCCTATGCTACATAGCTCCACTCAATAAAAAAATTACGTCAATTTCTAACAAAACAAACAGACACACACAATTTTCAAATATTAAGTACCTATACTTATGTAAGTTATCTGAAATATTTATGAAAAATGAGTTTCATTTTAATGAATCATTGACAATTTTTTTTTTTTTGTTATCTTGATATTTTATTAAGATATGCAAATAGGCTGAATACTAATATTATTAACCACTGAACCTATTTGATTGAAAATCGGTTCAACGAGAGTTTGAGACATTTGCACTGAAAAGGACATATATGTGATTGTTCTGTCCAGGAAATCCCACGGGACAGGAGCTATGCGTTAAAATTCCGGGACTCTATCGCATAAACCACTGATCCCATCTCAGTGCAATTCGGTACAACGACAGTTTGTGAACTGGGAAAAGATGATTTTTTTTTATGGAATAAAACCTGTAAACGAACAGACGGATTACATAATGGTGCTGAAATCGGCGCCGCCCATGGATACCCGATAGATCATAGATATTCATCATCATCATCATCATCATCATTAACATCCTATAAGTATAATATAACACAAAAATAACATTTTTAAAGCCTTTAGTGCAAATTCCAGGCACTGCAGCCTTGATATGAGCAAAACTAAAAAAATATTAAAATTTTTAATTTGTTAATTTGATATATCTAACTGTTAAATTGGTAATTTATTTTAGTAGGATTTTTTTACACGTATTGCGAATAGCGACTTGGTTCAATCCTATATATTATCTTGGAGCTTTCATATCCAACAGGGGTGGTTGCGTGGATAAAGTTAAGCGCCGCATGGCTATGGCCAGCACTGCGGTTAGGAAGCTGAAGAGAGTTTGGAGGAATCGCAACATCACTAAAACCACCAAAGTCCAACCAATTTTCATAATTCCAATTTTCCTCTACGCGGCAGAGACGCGACTGGGAGCTAGATGATCTAGAGATGTGGTGCTAGAGGAAGATGCTTGGTGTATCGTGGACTGAGTTCCGCAACGTATCCATACTCAGAGAACTCGGCATCACAAATCGTCTGTCAACCATAGTACAGACGCGCATACTGCAGTACTTTGGCCATCTCTCCCGTCGTGATAACAACTCCATAGACCGGGCTGGTCGTTCAGGGGAAAGTAGAGGGAACCAGATCACGAGGCAGATCACTTATGCGTTGGACTGATCAAGTCAAATCGGCAACGGGAAACCCAGTGTCAGACTGCGCCAGACAATCCACAAACAGAGAAAGATGGCGGGAGATCGTGAGGAAAGCTGTATCGGCCTCCAGCACAAATAAGACCGCCTCAATGTGACCACAACCGCTCTGCCAGGAGCGAAACGACAGAGAAGAAGAAGAAGCATTTTTTTATTTAACGCGATGGATATACTCATGGGCTTCCCACGCCATGGGGACGACGTGGGGTGTACCGGACTCTTACCTGCTCAAACGACCGCACCCAGCAGGCCTCGACCTACCACTATGCTCTACTCAAAAGCTGCGATTTCCTTCCTCGGGTGGAACAACGCTAACGCCTACTCCCGCCCATACAGCGAACGACTGACTCCCCTAATCAGTCGCCCGCAAGTCTCTCCTATGGAGGTCGCAGATCAGCTACCACCTCGCGGCGTTGTCGGCCGGCGCGTCTACGGCGAGAAGGGGGAGAGCTGGACGCCTACCAATCCCGTTCAGCCGCCTCCTTTGCCAACATGACACGTTCACTGAAGGATACGACTCCATCCCATGCACTCTAACTGTCAACTATAAATTTTCATAGGATGAGCCAACAATGATGACCCACAGAAACTGTTGTAATAAAGAGGGTTTTATCTAATACCTTTAACTGAACAATACTTATATATAACAACAATTTCGGAATCGGCTTGATCGATTAATTAGCGGATTTCGGGGGCGATAAATCGATCTAGTTTTCATTCCCAGAAAATGTCGGTTTATACGTGCTTTCATTGAATAAAAATGAATGCTGCTCATGAATATGAGCCTCTAGCATTGCTTGAAACTAGTCAAGTTTCTGGACAAACAGTCTCGTGAGTAAGCCGAAAACGTAATAATAGCGTAGATACCTCATTTTCATTTTAATGTCCGTCTGGTAGATTATTTTAAATCATTAGACCTGTATTTTTTGTTTTCTTACAGAAACGAATACTTTCGACGATATATTGATTTGAAATGTTCCGTGACGTCACTTATGTACATTTTATACGTGGAAATGTCGTTTAGCCCCCACTCCTAAACTTTGATTCGTTTTATCTACGATTGTGTTTTTATACGACAAAATAAAATATTGTTGTGTCTAATATTTTTTCATTACCTAACTTACAATTGCTTTAGTATGTCTCATGAAAGTTATAATATAAATAGGATGATACCATAACAATAATATAATATAAGAATTGGTCATTTATATATAAATACACTTAATAATTATGTTACATGCTTATTTTATCGTCGTATATTTTGCTAAATATAATCTTTAACGATCCAGGCAGACTCAAAGATATTACATCTACCATCATAGGTAATGAGCATAATAATAAAAATAAACATGCCAACTCATACTAGTATAATCCCATGTTTAGTAATAACATACCATACACATCTCCCACCAAGAATAGACATCTATAGCCCGTGACAATAACATTCATTGTATTTACGATCACTTAAACTTCACACGACCCATTGGACCAAGGGCACATAAACAAATTCCAAGGGAAATAAAGAGCATTGTTATATAAAAAGGAAATAGATATGCTGTATAAGCATTTGCAGTCCAATCTCTAAATCGAACGGTCATAATGCTAGTCGGAATCATACACCTTATTCTTATTGTTAGTAAAACATTAGAAGCATCAACATCGAAAAAGATGCAGTCTTCGGATATAATTGCACACGACAGCATTCTAAAGTCCTCAGATATGGCCAGAATCAAAAGTTTTCTTCAAACCATGAATCATTTTAACGATGATCAAACACCTCAAATGAAAGATCCGAGCAGTTACTGTCATTCATTTACTACTTGCCATGAATGTGTGAAAAGTATGTGGTTTCCATGCGGCTGGTGTCACAACTATGGATGTACAGAAAATCCGCAGAAACTATGCCCTCGCGCTGAAACCAAAGCAGAGAAATCAAACATAACAGGAGAAATAAGAGCTTGTCCACGAGCGGAGCATGATGGACCAATATTGGTACCAGGAGGAGTAAAAGTAAATATGAAAATTAAGCTGTACGTACCAGACCCTGCCATATATGACCAAGAAATTATATGCCAAATAAAGCTACGAAATCGTCTAACTCATCTTAAGGGACTAATTCTTAATGACATCGTGTATTGTTATCCAATTGCTTTGGAGCCACACGCAGTGCAATTTGGTGATACAGATAGAGGCACATTGACACTCTTATGGGGCGGAACTCAACCTTACTCGAACTCAATTGAATTGATTGTATACAACTGCGAATTATTAGCATCGGATTGCGAATCTTGTAAAATGATTCCGTCTGTTTATGGATGTGGATGGTGTGATCAAACAGCTAAATGTGTGATTGGTGACAAGTGTCCCAAAGATATGATGAAATGGACTCTAAATAGATTGACTTGTGAACATTATGGTAAGAATTTATTATATGTCTAAGCACATACCAAAAACGTGAGCATAAACAAAAACTTCTTAACTAATGAAACTAGCATGGAATCTCACTTATATATATAAGGTAAACGGAAATGTATTGCATAAATGTTCAACTAGATACCGATGTTTAAATTAATATACATCAGTATATCAACACTCATATTTTAAATTAAAAAATATACCTAACGATGAATGTTCTTACGGGCAATAGTTCAGTATATGTCGATATAACGAATGATATCATTTTCACATGTATTGTTTCGTATCTTAATAGTATGTTGGTAAACAATAACGTATTCATACACTGAACAATCCTAATCAAAAATTGTCAGTACACGTCTTGTGGAAGACGTATCGGTGTGTTAGTATTTATTTATAATTTTAAGTGAGTGATTCCAGTTTCAATTTTGCTGACTAAAATTTTATATGTGTATAAAAAAAACTCAGAAGTAACTATTTAATTTTCAGGAAACCATATGCTATAAAACTAGAGTAAATCTCTAAATTCAAAACAAAGATGTTAGATTTTTATAAAACGATCTGGATTATTTTTATACGCATACACTGTACTCAACTATTTACCGCGCAGTTGTCCCAAATAGACTCCATCCAGGGTTACTGCACATCGTTCAGCAGTTGTTGGGATTGTAAGAGAGCAGGTGCTCAGTGTGACTGGTGCCATGATGTCGGCTGTACACACTACCCAAGTCTTCATTGCCCCCAAAAAGTATTTCTTGACAACACATGGCACAAGAACTCGATAGAAAGGTACTGTACCGAAATTGTGTCCAGTGATCCCATATTCGTTCCTGCCGATGTAAAAAAGTATATTAAATTAAATTTGAGGATAGATGATTTAACGATATTCAAACGAAGCATTATGTGTGAAATACATATAGAACAGTCGATTATACGAGTTAAAGCAAACCTCGGTCAAACTACGTTGTACTGTGACATGACTAACTTAAAAATTAGTCGGACTGTGTCTTTGGGTTATGTGAGACTCTTGTGGGGAGGCGTAGAACCATATTCCAATATGATACTCATGATAGTATACAGATGTCAATACATGGCAAACACTTGTTTTGAATGCCAAGCACTCGATAAAAGATTCAATTGTGGTTGGTGCGAAGAAACTTCGAAGTGTATTTTGCTGGAAGAATGTCCAAGACAATTTGGGCCGTGGATAGATAGAAAAAGTTTGTGTGGTAGATACAAAGACATAGCTCACTATAACCAGGGGAATGTAGAATGACTTGTAAATAAATATGAGTAATTTGTTGTGAAACGTGATAGTGTTGCGCATAATGTTTTATTAAATGTTCAGTTGACAGTGTGTATATTATTTGACTATCATTTTCAGCGTCTTGGGGACAATGACCAGAAATGTTACACGTAAGATAAACGTTTAAGGTATTTCAGAAAACCCTTAGTAAATTTTAAGGTGTTCTCTTATTCCGTATAATAGATTTGAAGCCACAAAAAGCTAAAGCTAAAGTCAACGTACAGCTAAATCATAAAAGTATTTTATGCTGAAATGATAATCTAAAACAACATAAAGGCTTATAAATTGTTTCTTATAAAATGTTGTGGTTATCATTTTCGTGTAAATATATCATATAATAACTGTGGGTATTTTATGTGTATTACACTGATTGAAACAGATTTATTCACCTTTTTTATATTGTTGTATATATTTTTTATCAAAAACCCCATGGGGTTTTCATGCATATATAACAAAATGCATTACAGAACCTCATGACTTACACAAGTAAAATCATGGAAACAGAAGGGTAAAAATGGCGAAGGTATCCTGTATTAAACCTTTTAGCATAATGAAAATTGCTCCAATATCAGTAGGCTGAACACTTTGCTATCTGTGCCGAAACAAGATCTAGTAAGCGCGGGAAAATTGAACAGATGCTACAGCGTTGAACGACTCCAGGTTACATTGCTATTGGGAAAAGAAAGGAGTATATCGAACGGAGTTTTTTTGATATGGTATTTTAAGTATTTTTTACATACCTCTCTTGAGGCCTAAAGGGTTTTTTTTAAGAGGGGAAAATACTCGAATGACTTCTCCCTCCTGGGTGAGGTTGGAGGGAGTGTCCGACTCTTACTGACTAAAACCACCCCGTTTCTACGCCTGCATTTCGAGCCGGAGCCCCGGTAACCTGTTAAGTTCTCCGCAGCAGCCTTAAAGGGTTAGGTCGACGTTGTATAACAGCAATTTTTCACAAGTAGTTGTTATGAGTTCTATATATGTGGTAGGGGGCTAAACACACAAGGGAAGAGATGAGGAGGTACTAATGTACATACATAGTCTGCAGTCATCACGTGGCCTATAACACTAGGCTAAGATTCTTCGCACCCGCGGGCGCACAACAATCAAGTTTACAAGCGATAATCGCAACCGCGGCTGCTGTGGGACTGAAGAAACCTGCGGTGTCGTGAGTTTGAAAATAAATCTTCATCCCGCTAACGCACTGGGCGCGGTTGAAAATCGCGTCGTGAGTCCGTAGCATAACAGGATAGGATACAACGACAGATTTTTTGCCGCATCCAGTTTTTATAACAAATGCTCTTGACTACACGGCGCGGTATAAACGTCTGGACATTGATTTCTACAAATTGAGATTCTGTGAGTATATTGCAATATAAAATCCTTTCCAGTAAGTGAATGAACAGACTAAAGAACGAAATAATCTTCTAAGATGAAATCACTGAGTAATAAAATCTGCCTAGAATTAAATAATCTATCAACATAATGATCTTTTTGTTCGAACCTATAGCTTTTTATTAGGCAAAACTACAAACTCCGTGAAAATCATTTTGAGAATCAACCCTACCTAACCTAACAAGAAAATCATAAAAATTAATAATAATTCTCCTACATAGTTTCGGTACACATGATTTTTTTGAGAAAACAGTATTTTCATACAATAATATGTATATGTTAGTTACGGGAGTTACCATGCATTTGCATGTTACAAGGCCCAGCAACAAGCAAGTCACGAGAAAATTTGGATCACACAAGATTATATTAACACACATGATATAAATCTATTATATCATAATTATTTGCCTTACGCAAATATTATAATTATGACGCGTCCGAAATTTGACAGATGATTTTTATATGTAGGATAAAAGAGATGATAAATATGTTAGCTCTAGTTGAAGAAGAAGAAGGTAAATAAGCTACAGATACTGTTAAGTCTCATGTAATTGAGCTGACAGAGAAAAGTAGAAATAGCTAAAAGGAATTAGCTAGCTGAAGTGACAGTGAAGTCTACTCCTGTTGTTACTCCTCCTGAGTTGTGTGGAACACACCTAGCCCTAGCACTCTCCAGCTAGGTGTTCCACACAACGAACCCATGAATTGTGGCTTTATTAATAATTCTTCTAAAATAACCTTCGTGCAATTGCCGAAAACTATGAACATTTGTATACTTTAGCTGTTCCAGGAAACAATCCTTCGACCCTTGAGTAGGCAATGAGTTTAATAATAAAAAACACTCCTGAAGTCCTAATTTTATTCATTGTCGTAACATAAATCTAACAAAATTTTTATGCTTTTGCTTCAATCGTAATTCTTTTTCGTAGATAATCTATAATACTTTTCGAGGGCGACTGATCCCTGCCAAATAGCTCGTAAATCTGTCGACCAATAAAATTTTTGTTACAACCTCGTTCTAGGTACTTCACTGCACCTGTCACTATTATTGCTGTCTCGCTTACACACAAAATTCGTTATATAAAGCTGTAGTTACACAACAAGGCTGATAAAATATTTTAGGAAACTAGGGAACACTAGGGCGTCTGCCTTGTTGGCCGAGTGGTCGCAAGTGTGACTGCCGGGCAAGGGGTGACGGGTTCGATTTCCGGGTCCGTCAAAGTATAACTGGGTTTTTAAAAAAAAAACAGTAGTAGCTCGGAGTCTGGAGTTGTGCAATAGGCTCATCCCCTATTACTGGGACTTATAACATAAATAGTGAAAACTGGGTGTTACATTGTACAGTGGCTTTAAGTGCCGTTATGTGCACCTCTGCCTACCCTTTCGGGGATAAAAAGGTGTGATGTTGTGGCCCAATAGGGTGACGAGTAGCTTGGAAGGAATGAACTCCATCCTGAGGCCTCCTTTCCCAGTACGCTACAATATGGGGTTCTTCAAGGGAGTAAATAAGTTTCTTTAAGGGGCGGCCAGGGGCATATAATGCCCCAAGTGTCCACGGTAACCACTTACCATCAGGTGGGCTGTGTGCCTTTTGGTATAAAAATCCTTTGGATATTCAAGAATCAAAGTATGAACCCTTAATCATACTTACACATCTGAGATCTTTGTTTGTTGATGATGATGATGACAATGATTATATTTTGGTTCTAAACTAATCTATAATTACATATTAGCTACTACATTACGTATTAGCTGATGCCCTCGAGGCTATGCTCGCGTGGCTTACGGGCATTGTGACCAATGAACGAAATGACATACGGAGCCGCGGGCCGATATGAAGCCGCGGAAAACCTAACGGGTTACCGGGGCTCCGGCTCTAAGTGCATCAGTAGGAACAGGGTGGTTTTTAGTCAGTAAGAGTCTGACACTCCCTAACGCCTCACCTAGGCGGTAGAAGCCATTCGATGATTTTCCCTCCTTAAAAAAACCCTATTTTCACATCTTCGCTTTTCTAGATATTTTACCTTAAATATAATGTAAGTCATATACCTTCTAACTTCGACCCTTATTGAGTAAAGTTATCAAAAGTCCTGAAAATTTAAAATAAAACGTTGTTTAAAATCTTTGGGGTAAATATCTATATAATATTACATA